TCAGGGCCATTATCAGATGAGATTCTAGAGGGTAGCCCATACCTAGGGATTACAATGTGGAGTAATGCCCTTGTGACTTCACTGGCCTTTTTGTTGCGTGTTGGTATGCACTCAGGCCACCCTGTATATGTGCACACAATAACTAATAGCGTATTGTAAGGGCCACAGCGAGGCATATCAGTGAAATCAACCATTAAAGAATCGAATTGGTAGCAGCCTCTCGGTTGGTGGCCCGGGGGTGGTTGCGGACCTTGTCGGGGGTTATTAGCTGCACAAACCTCACACCGGGCACATACATTGGCTGCTATACTACTTATTTTGTTTATGTATAATTCCCTTTTCAGCACCTTTGTCAGAGCCGTCTTCCCTAAGTGCAGCTGTCGGTGTATTTGATATCCCAGGCCATATGTGCGGGTATAAAAACCCTATTATCAGGTAGGATCCACCAATCCCCCTCTAGGTGTGCCTCAAGTGCCTCAACCTGGGCCATGTCATCCTTAGAGTAGTGGGGTCGGTGGTGAACGGTTGGCTCCCAAATAGCGAGGTACTTTTCTGTGGAAGTGGGTACCTTTTGGGCAGCTTCACGTGCTAGTCTATCTGCCTTCTCATTTCCCTTTTGTATGTCTGTGACTACCTTTTGGTGTCCCCGGCAGTGCATGACTGCTACCTCCTGTGGGGCCCATACGCTTTCTAGGTGACGTAGTATTTGGAAACTATATTTAATATCCCTGCCTCCTGCAGTGATAAGTCCTCTTTCCTTATATAAGGCTCCATGGACTTGGACCGTGAGGAAAGCATACTTTGAGTCTGTATAAATGTTCACTCTTAGCCCTTTGGCCATCTCTAGGGCTCTGGTTAGTGCATGTAATTCTGCCAGCTGTGCACTTGTCCCAGGTGGAAGGGGCTCTGCTTCCCATACATCATCTAGAGTAACTACTGCCTTTCTTATTCCCTCCTGTAGGTAGCTAGTGCCATCTGTGAATAAGGTGTAATCTGGAGTAGGGAGAGGTATATCTGTCATGTCTGCGTGGCTAGCATATGTTTCCTCTATTGTATGGATACAATCATGAGTAAGTTCAGTATTGGGTTCAGGCAGTAGCGTGGCAGGATTCAATGTGGTGGATTGCATGATGTTAATCAGAGGGTTTTGAGTGATGAGTCCTTGGTATTTCAACATTCGAGGGTTAGTTAACCACAAGTGGCCCTTTGTTTCCAGTACAGATTTTAGGGCATGGGGGGTGTAGATATCTAGGTGTTGTCCAAATGTTAATTTACTGGCTTCTTGAGTTAAAATGGCTGCCCCAGCCACCGCCTTGAGGCAGGCGGGCCACCCCTTTGCAACATTATCAAGTTGCTTGGAAAGATATGCTACAGGGCGGTGCCATGTTCCTATAGTTTGGGTGAGGACACCCACCGCTACATTTTGTGTAGTATCCACGAACAACTGAAATGGTTTTTCCAAGTCCGGGAGGCCTAGACTAGGGGCTTGTAATGAAGCCTGCTTAAGTGATTGGAAGCTCACTTCTTCCTGCTTTCCCCATTGTAACGGCTCTCTATCAGCTCCTTTTGTAGCTTCATATAAGGGTTTCACTATAAGACTAAAGTTGGGAATCCATATACGACAAAACCCAGCAGCCCCCAAGAATCCTCTCAGATCCCTCTGATTTGTAGGTGTGGGGAGTTGGCATATGGCTTCCTTGCGCTCATGGCCTAGGGTACATTTTCCTTGTTCTATGTCCTAACCCAAGTATCGAACTTTCTGTGATACTAGCTGAGCCTTCTTCCGAGAGGCTTTATATCCCAAGTCCTGTAAAAGGGACAGCAACTCATGCGTGTTGCTCCAGCAAGTGTCCTCAGTGTGTCCAGTAACTAATAAGTCATCTACATATTGCAACACCACATCAGGGGGTGGTGTGCTTAATGCCTCTAAATCTTTAGCTAAGGCAGCCCCAAAAAGAGTTGGTGAGTTTCTAAAGCCTTGGGGCAACCTGGTCCAGGTGTACTGTTGCTTTCGACCAGTGGTGGGGTTTTCCCATTCAAAAGCAAATAAGTGTTGACTATTCTCATGTATTGGTATTGTGAAAAAGGCATCTTTCAGATCTATAACAGAGAACCATGTGGCAGCTTGAGGGATAAGGCCCAGTATAACATATGGATTTGGAACCACCGGGTGGATGGTCACTGTGGCAAAATTCACGGCCTTTAAATCCTGAACCGGCCTAAACCGGCCTTCCCCCTTTGGGATGGGTAGTATCGGGGTATTCCATGGTGACACAGTAGGCACTAGAATATGATGTTCCAAATATAGATCAATAATGTCCTGGATGGCTTGCATGATATGCCTAGGGTATGCCCGCTGTCTGATTCTCACAGGCACCTTCATTGGTGCTTCTTCCACTAAAATAGGAGGGTGGTGGGCAGCAAAGCCAGGGGGGATGTCCTCTGCCCACAACCGAGGAACATTAAACTGCTTCCATTTATCCTCACCCCGCTTTCCGATGTCCCTGGCGACCATGAGCCGCCATCCCTCTTCTAGGGGTACAGACAAGTTTACTTTCCCGTACTCCATTTTCTTTTTTCTTTTTTGAAAACAAGTTTTATTGATTTTTCAAAGACAAACAAAATATAAGACATCAAAGTATAAAACCTCCTTTCTAAAAATTACTTATAAGTTTTAACAAGGCAAATAAAACATTATTTTTAAGGCATAATTCCACATTATCACATTTCCATTTAAACACATATATATCTTTTCCAAATTTCTCATTGTTTCTCCCTTCACTTTTATTCAATTATATTTCTTTCTATCAAGGTTTTATTAATTCTCAATCAAGCATAAACACACAAAATACAAAACATAAAACAAGACATTAAAAGATAAAACCTCCTTAATTATCATTTATACATGTCTTTTCCAAATTTCTCTCCCTTTAGTTTTATTCCTCCAAGGTTTTATTAATTCACAATCAAAACATAGCTAACCAAAACACAAAACATAAAACATAAAACTTCTTTTGAAAAGTGGCTTAGCCCCGGGTTACATCTTTTTTTTACAGACCTAAATCAAATTCATGCTCACCTTATATACCATTCATATCTTATTAACCACTCTATATTTTCTATATAACTTCTCCCTTCTTTTCACTCTCTTAATTATATTTTGTTTATTTCATCTTATTTCAAAATCATTATGATTGTATTTTTTGTCCGTTCTTTTCCAATCATCTATTTATCTCTTCTCTTTAGCAAAGAATTTCCCCTTTAATCACTTTTAAGGTGTGATGCCTTTCCCTAAAGTAACACTTAAAATAATACATAATTTCCATCCTGATTCTGCTTAGTACATTCTACATGTTGCATTTTAAAATAAAAGAATAATAAACTTATAATATAGTTAAGTATATAATTTCCATTCTAGTTCTAATTCTAATTAATAGTATAACTAAGCATTAATCATTTTAAACATTCTCTTTAATATTTTATTAAATATTGAAATCTATCATTATTAAACATTTTAATATTTTAATATTTTGTTAAGTCTTATAATATTCCAATAGACTATTTCAAATGCAAATACTACAATACTATCTTATGTACTCTTGCAGAATCTTTCTTTAATTATACACTATCCTTTATCCTTTATCTCTAAAAAAAATATCTTGTTTCAGACCGTGGCTTTTTCCCCCTTTTTCCCTCCCTTTCTTCTCCAGTCTGGTCTTTTTGCCCCCCCCTCTCCTAACCTCCACCTTTTTAGCTTCCCCTCTCTGTTGTAATTCTCTTTTCAATTGCTTTCTAACATTGTACCTTTTTTTCACCTTATTTTTCTTTTTCTTGGTTGTTTTATTGAATCTTAAATTCTCATTTTTTCTTTTTTCTCTTCCTATTTCCTTTCTTAATCGAACTTTTTTGTCCATTAAAAATCACTTCTTCCTTTTCTTCTTCTTCTTCTCCTTCTCCTTCTTCCTCAAGTATTTGCTGGTACGTAGAAACCGCCATTTCTAAAAAGTGGAAGACAGCTCCCAATGAATCCTTGCCATTTTGTTCTCTTTCTTTTAATTTTTCATATTCCATTTTTAGTTCATCCACGGATGGTGCCATTGTAAATTTTTAAGAACAACCCAGATGTTTTTAATCTTAAAGTAATTTGCAAATGTCAAAGTTATCAAACAATCCAAACAGGCAGAAATTATTTCCTCTTCTTCTCTTTGCAACTTTTCCTCCTGGGGCAAAATCCCAAATATATTTTAAAGCCGTGTTACAGTTAGTTGCTGGTCTTATAATCTTCAAGGCGTCTCCTCCAACAAATTTTTAAAGATTTTTTTTTTTAGTCCTCTCCTTCCCACTTATAACAAAGAGCTTATTTTTACCTTAAAGAAGCAGGTTTTTCTGTGCTCATTTGCTTTCTCCGTAAGGAAGGGGAGTGAACTTTCCTTCAGCACTTTCGCCGCTGTAACAATCTTTTGGAAACAAATGTATCATTCCGAAAGTCAGGTTTCCAGGGTATTTTAAAAGTAACTTAATGTCCCGGTTCAGCCAAGAAAACTTCTCCTTCTGGTTCTTCCTCCTGCGCAGTCTTATCCGGTTGAAGATTCCTTTGTGACTGCCATTTCTGACAGCCGCTCCACTGCCTCAGGAAAAAGGAGTCTAGCCAGCTGGGGAAAGGGGGTGCGATATCCACAGACCCCTGCCCGGATCTCCTCTGTCTTCCGCTGCCCCTTTGGGGCAGCGACAACCCCCAAATCCAGTTGGATCGGGGGTACCTCAGCGGCGAGCGCAGCAGGGACCTGCAGAGAAGTGGATTCCTGCCGCCGCCGAAGCCTTGCAACCGGAAGTCCCCCGTACTCCATTTTCATGGTCCCATCCTCCTCAAAAGGGATCTGTGCCCGAAGTTTGCACAGTAGATCCCTTCCCAATAATGGAATAGGGCAGTCGGGCATATATACAAACTGATGTGTTATGGCCTGTCCCTTCAGTGTGCATACAAGGGGTTCTAGAAAGGGATGCTGCAGTATGCTTCCGGTTGCATCCTGGATGCTGATAGTCTGTTGGGATGCCTGGGCCAAGGGCTGAGTCAGAACCAACCAGGTTGCTCCAGTATCAACCAGGAAAGTTACAGGTTTGCCTCCAATATTTAGCCTGATCATAGGTTCTGGGAGGCTTTCTGAACCCGGTCGGCCTCAATCCCATTCTTCTACCTCTGCCAAACCTATTAAGGGAGCTCTCCCTAAACCTCTCCTATTATCTTGCCTTCCTCGGCCCCTTTCCAGGGGTCTTCTTAGGCCATTTTCCACTACAAAGCTGAGGTTCCTTGGAGGAGGGCCACATCTGCCTTCTGGCCTTTCATCCTTGTTCCTTTCAGGACACTCCCCTTTCCAGTGTCCTTGTTTCTTACAGTAGGCACACTGGTTGCGTCCTAACTCTGTCCTGCTGCCCCTCGGCAGACTATTTCCTCTGCCCCTTGGTGGGTTGAGTCCCCTGCCTCTTGGTGTCCACATCATGGCCGCTGCCATTAGCTCAGCTTTTCCTTGCATTTTTTGATCCTTCCTCCTTTCCTCCTCCTTATCCCTATTAGCAAAGACCTTTCTGGACACCTCCATGAATTCACTCATGGGTTTCCCTAGAGCTCCCTCAAGTCTCTGCAATTTACGCCTTATGTCCAGTGTGCTCTGGGAGATGAACGCCATAGTCAGCATTCGAGCATTCTCCGGGTCTAGTGGGTCGATAGGGGTATACATGCGGTATGCATCAATCAAATGGGTATAAAATGCTTCCGGACTCTCAGCAGGTTCCTGTAACACCAGAGAGGGTTTGGACATGTTGACTACAGGTTGCCCTGCGAGTCGGACAGCTCGCACTATCAACAACTGATAGTCTCGGAGCTTTTCCTTTCCCTCGTCCTTGTAGAGATCCCAGTCTGGATCAC